CCCCCCCCCCCCCCCCCCCCCCCCCCCCGAGTGTCAGATATCTGTTTATGGCAATGAGCTGAGAGAGACCATGGTGGCAGCTTTTCTCACAGCAGCCTGCACTTCCTCTATCTTACCACTTATCTACTCCAGGAAACTCTTGCTAGGTATGGACCATGACTGTCCTAGGCACTACAGGGAGTCCAGCACCCAGCTATGAAGGCCTGACTGATAATGAGGGCTCAATAAATATTAACAAGCCTTCTTCAAAGTTGGTGTGGGGGCCTCTTTTCAGAAAGATAGAGGTGAGACCTATGTTCAGGATACCAAGTCCCTTTTTTAACAAGCTGTACCCTCAAGTGGCATGTACGCCGACTTTACTCCTTCCATTTCAGGTCTACTAGTCTGTGGATAAGGTGGGAGGAGGACAACTTCAACAAGAAAGCCATGGAAGTGAAGACGTGCAGGTGATGAAACAGGAAGTTGTCCCAAGTGTCTTTACAAAACCAGTTCAGATTCCACTCCACATAGGTGACTTTTCCACAAGATAGTTGTTTGCACAGTTGGTTTTCCACCAACTAAACCAGCTGCCGCTCAAGTAGGAATGTCTATCTGGGAGCAGTCTGGTATGTTAGGTGTTGAAGCTGAATTAGAAATGGGAAAATTTGGGTTAAGAACTACTTTTGTGCTTGCTTAACCCCTCCACCTAAGATTTCTTGTCTGTGAAATGGAAGTCCTACTTAGACCTGCAGTGCAGACTGAGGCTTAAGAGAGATTTTGCTCTGGAGCCAAGTACCTGCATTCCTCCCCAGCTCTGCTCTCTATAGGATTTTGTGTTGTTCACTCAGTCTTTCCATTCCTCAAGTTCTCTCATATGTTATATGGGGGTGAAAGCAGGAGTTTATTTCCTAGCGCAATTGTGGGGTTGAAATGAGTTCCTCATGTAAAGCACTTAAAAAGCAATTTCTGGCACAATATAACATTCAGCAAACCCAAGCCATTTATAACGGCCTCACAGGGTTTACAAGGCAGCAGGGACACTGTGAGTGACAGCATTTTGTTATAAAGCAACAGGGACCTTGTGAGTGAGAGGTGTTGTTGTTGTTTTTAGGTGTCATCAAATCAAGTATGACTCACAGCAACCCCATGAACTGAACCCTCTCCTAGCTCCTCATAATTTCTGACATATTCAAGCCCATTGCAGTAATTATTGTACCAGTTCATTTGGTTGAGGGTCTTCTCTTTTGCAGACCCTCCATCTTTCCAAGAATAATACCCTTTCCTAACAACATGCCCAAAGCATGTGAGATGAATTTTGCCATCTTTCCTCTAAGGAGCACTCAGGCTGCACTTTTCCCAAGACACAGCTGTTTCTTCTTCTGACAGTCCATGGGATATTCAGTACTCTTCTCCAACACTACAACTCAAAGGTAATAGTAAAGGAAGAAAACAGATTTTGTCTTAGAAAGCCTTTTAGGTCTGCCTTCTCCTTATATTTATATCTCCTTCCTTTCTGGATTAAGAACTTGCAAATTTGGAAATATGGACCTTCTTGAGGGTTTAACCACACACTGTCTATTCTGCACACAAACTGGGTTTAGACCACTGGACCACAGAAGAGATCAGTCAGACTTGCCTGCCTATTTATTCCACTGATGACATTCCTACACCTAAGCTAATGTATATCATTCATCATTGAAATGCTAGTCACATACTTTCCCTTCCTTCCTTCCTTTCATCCATCCATCCATCCATCCATCCACCTGGGAAGTATCTGCTCTATGCAAGGCATTGTCCTTTAAAGTCCTCTCCACCAACAGAGACAGGCTCAGAGCTCTTCTCACTCAACCCCTTGTCTGGTTCTGAGACTAGTATTGCTTTGCAGGTGTTTCTCTTCACCCACCAAACCTCTGAATTGGAACTGCCCCTCATATTATCACTTTTCTCACTGAGGTCAGCAGTTCTCACGTGGTCACATGCTGGAATCCTCTAGGGAGCTCAGCTATACTCCACATCAATTACATTAGAACTTCTGAGAATCATAGGACAGGACAATTTTTTTTTTAACACTTCTCAGGTGATTCCAATATATAAGCTAGCCTGAGAATCACTGGCCGAGTCAATGATAGTTATCTTTGCAAAGATGCATTGTGAAGTCGATGTTACTTCTCTAACTCTGTGATTGAGCAGATAGGCTGCATTCCACCCCTTGCTTTTGGCACAAAGACCCCAGGGGCATCTTTCCCATGTGAGAGATCCTGAGGACACCCTCCTCTCCCTCCCTCAGAATCACGCTCGGCACCCTCACCCTCCAGTGGCACCCTTGTCCTTGGTGCTCAACTGTGTACAGCACACCCTGGGGAGAAATTCCACAGTGTCATTAAAAGCATGTTTTCTGAGAAGCTCTGGCTCCCTCTATCCATTCCCTTTACATGTCTGTCTCAGAAGGGCCAGTGGAAATTTTCCCCCCAAAACTGGTATTTCCTTATTCCTTTTTTTTTTCTTCCCCTCCCCCTTTTTATCATTCAAACTGCAAGGGGGGGGGGTGCAGGGCTGGACAAAGTCACCGCTTGTTGTCATAAAACTTGGACAGTTCGAATTCCCTCCCTCCAACTCTGTTTTCAATTTAAAAATGAGGGTGGGGGTGGTTAGCCAAATTTGATATAAGCCAATGATTCTTTTGTACCAAGAACCGTGACAGGATTCTCAGCCTGGGAGAGAGGAGTCCAGCCTTGCAGACTTGTTGCCACCATTTCTTCTTGTCTAATTCTGTCCTGCTGGGCCCGGGACCAAAACAAAGTCCAGAGTTCAACCAGTTCTCAGGCTCATGAAACCATGAGCTCTCTGCTCTCATGAATCCCCAACTCAACTCACTGCCATGGTATCAGAACCAACTCACAATTGAACCTCCAGCAGGTTTTCAGAAGCTGTAAATCACACAGGAGGAGACTGCCCATCTTTCTCCTGCAGAGCAGCTGGCACATTCGAATGGCCTGCCTTTGGGTTGGCAGTGCAACTCCTTACAAACTAGGCCACTAGTGCTACCTCAAGAATCCCCACATCTTCCCAAAGGAATACCCTGCCCTAAGACAAAAGATAAGCCAGAAGTTGTTGTCATCAAGGGCCCCGGGACTGTGAGCACTTAGGGACAAGCCACTCTAAATGCTCTTTGTAATCCCTCCAGATAGTCCCGTCCAATAGCAAATATGGATGTGTACTTGTTAAAGGACCCTTTGATTAAGTGTTTAGCTGCCACCAGCAAGGTGGGCAGTTCAAACTCAACAGCTGGGACAAAGATGTGGTGGGTCTACTCCATTGTATACGGTCATTATGAGTCAGAATCGAGTCAACAGCAACAAAGCTTTCTTGTTGAATACACTCGAGAAAGTTCTATCTATTTTTACAAGTTTTAGGAATGAACTCCTTGTGAAGTCTTCTCTTACCCACTTAACACAATTTCTCTTCTGAGCCCCCACAGCTAATTTTCACCCCTTAGACTCCATGCCCACTCCACTGCCCCACACATTATTCTGCTCAGTAGTGGTATCCTGATTGGCTCAGAGATGTGTGAGGGCAGGAGCTGCCTCTGACTCATGTTGCTGGAGAGACACCATACAACCCAGTTGACATTGCTAGTTGACATTTATCGCCCCAGCAAAATAATTTACTGTCGACCATGGGCACAATGATTAAAATTATCCCCCTTTGACATTCAAAGCTGCTCTGGCTTCAGCCCAGCGTCTCAGATGATCTGTTCTGCACACAGATTGAAAAGGTATGGAAACAAAATACATCCCTGATGAACCCCCTTCTTGATTTTGAACCATGTAGTGTCTCCTTGCTCTGTTCTGATGACTGCCTCTTGGTCCAAGTATAGGTTTCGCATTAGCACAATCAAATGTTCTGGGATTCCCATTCTTCTCAGAGTCATCCATAGCTTGTTGTGATCCACACAGTCAAAAGCCTCTGCATAGTCAATGAAGCACAGATAGACATTCTTTTTTATTTTCTCTTCTTTGTGCCAAGATCCATCTTACATTATCTATAATATCCCTAGCACCACAACCTCTTCTAAATCCAGCCTGCACATCTGGCAGTTCTCTGTTCACATACTGTTACAAACGTTTTTGAATCATTTTCAACAGAATCTTGCCATCATGTGATATTAATGATATTGTTCGATAGTTTCCACACTCTCTTGGGTCACTTTTCTTTGGAATGGGAACAAATACCGATCTCTTCCAGTCAGTTGGCCAGTTGGCTGTCCTCCAGATTTCTTGGCACAACTTAGTGAGCACATCCAAGGCAGCATCTGTTTGTTGAAATAAATCAATTGGTATGCCATCAACTCCTGGAGCCTTGTTTTTTGCCAATTTCTTCAGAGCAACTTGAACTTCCTCCTTCATCACCACAGGCTCTTGCTCATATGTTATTTCATGAAATTCTTCTGTGTCAGCCAATTCCTTCTGATACAGTGACTCTGTGTACTCCTTCCATCTCCTTTTGATACTTCCTGGATCATTTAACATTCTTCCCAAAGTATCCTTAAGTACTGCCACCCGTGGCTTGAATTTGCCCCTTTTTAAATCCTCACTTATCTCATCTGTACTTATGGGGTCAATAGTAGTGTTTTTCTCATGGACCTGTTGTGAGAGATGAATGAGATAATAGACTTAATACAGTGTCAAGGACTTAGTAATACTTGATAAATTTCAACAGATGACACAGGTAAAAAGAGCAGAGGAAAGAGAAGTAGTGATCTGAAGATTTTCATCTTGAGCCCTTCGAGATTAGGAGAGTCAGAAACAGGACATTTGGTATCTTGACTTTATTCTCACTATATTCACATAAACTTCTAAAAACACAGGTATTTGGAAAATCAAATCTCCAGGAGCCGAAATAGGGATTGGGTTATTTTGACTTTTTTTTTTTTAAATCTCTGTCTACTAGAGGTAGAAGTTTCCAGAAGAACCAGAGTAAAGAAACAGCATATACAAGAAGACAAAGACCCCTCACAGAGCTGCTGGGGATCCTAGGGGTTGCCTCCTCCTCAATCAGACATCCCCAGAATGTAGCAGCAGTAGGGAAGCTGCCTGGAGGAAAAAGAGACAAAATCTCAACTTCAGGGTATGGAGGATGGCAGCAAATAAATGCCAGCCCTGGAGAAGGCTCCGGGTCCCAGTTCTCAGCTTAAAAAGCCCCATCTCACTGCCAGGGAGGTGTGGTCTGCTCTTCCAAGTGTCTAAGCCTGTTTTCACCATATGGACAATAATATAGTGAAAACAGAAGCCCTGGACAGGGAAAGGAGGTCGAAGTTTAAAGGTGCCTGGGTCAAATTCTGCCTTTGAAAACAATGTTTTTCGTTAGCTCAGCAACATGCTTATAGGAGAAATCTATTTCGAGTCAGCAGCTACACTCCCTGGGTATATGTTTTGAGGGTCACAAAGAGCACATTGAAAGAAATGCACTGAGTCTTTATTTTTATGGGAAAGAGAGCAATTGCATACTGGAATTGTGGCCTTTCCTGGACTATAAGTACCATGTGAGCAGGAACTGAGAACTCTGTTTACCAGGTGCCTAGCACCCAGCACAGTGTCTGGTAATTAGAAAGTATTTAGCGACTTAAGAAACAAAGATATTAATAATGACGTTTGTTTTTATTTTTTGTCACTTTAGAAAGAAAGCTCTAGGAAAAGGGTAGGAGGCTTGATTTTCTGAAAAATCACACCAGTTTTCACAGATAATGCAACCTGAAGACAGTGGTATGTCCCACAGACTAGCAGGTTCTCAACCAGATTCCCCTTTCAGCCTCCCTATATCCTCTCCAAGTTACACACTGAGGAAAGAGCTACCTACATGCAGTCAGACAGTGTCCCGTGCTGCTCCCTTTTTGTGCCCATTATTAAGCACTAACGTCATAAAATCCCTCTTCTCAGAGGCCCACGTTTCAGCTTCAAGTCTTACTAAGTACAGGCTCTGACTTACTCACTGAACCACCAGTTCATGAATCAACCTCAACTCCTGGTGACCCTGTTTATGTCAGAGTAGAAACTTGATCCAGTAGGACTGTAAAGAGCTGATTTTTTAGAAGTAGAACACCAGGCCTTTCTTCTGAGGTGCCTCTGAATAGACATGAAACTTCCAGTTATCCTTCATGTACATGAATCCTTTATATACCCAGATACTTCATGATGGTGAGGATAATGGACTGCATCATTGAATATAAGGTGCTATATCTATTGTCAGATGCACTGTTATTTTTTTATGCACAACTTAAAAAAAAGTGCCAAGTGACTCAACTGTAAGATGTACCCTAATGTCAGAGATATTGAAGTATAAAAAATGAATATGTATACAACATAGAATTAATTAAATATGGCATCACTGACGGCCTTCTTGGTTTTTGGGGGTTTTTCTTCAGGATTTAAGGGTATGCAACTTCCCTTTAATGAGTAAAAGAGATGTACCCTGTAGAGTTTCCTGACTTTAAACATTCTGGAAACAGAGCACCAGGTCTTTTCTCCTGTGGAGCTGCTAGTAGTTTTGAACTGCTGATCATTAAGTTAGCAACCCAATGTTCAGTCATTGTGACACCAGGACTCCTTATTCACAGATGGTGGTGGTGGTGTCAAAATTGATTCATATCTGCCCCTCTCGTGAATTTTCAGAGAATTTGCAAGGGAGGATCCTGCCCATCTTTCATCTGTGATCACAAGTGTAGAGAGTAATATTCTAACACATATTTTGTGAGAACATTCTTCAATCTGAAGCATTGCCCTTATCATTCCTCTGATAAATCCAATCCACTGCCCTGTGAACATCCATGCTAAGTACTAAGAAGAACCCTGCAAATCCTGAAAACACTCAAAGCCAAACAACAGCCTAAAGGAGCTCCCCAGCTCAGTGACACTACATTTCATCACATTGCGCTATCTTTATTTCACATTGTATTGGGACGCTTCTCAGATAACCAAGGTAGCCAAGTAACTGAGTCATAGGTTGCAGGACGGCTCACACTGACAGGCAGACGGCTAAGTAAATGCCATCTTAATCCTAAAAGTGACAAGCCCACCAGCTCTGCACCCATTCCCCTCTCCCAGGGTCTGTTCGCCCAACACCATCCTTTGAGACCCCCAGGCTGCAGAGACCCCAAGCCTGCACGCATGTGCCCAGTACCTTCTGCCTTTTCCGCAGGGTCCAGTTCTTCCAGAGCAGCAGCTTTATTTGTCTGGTGAAGCGCATGCTGGCCACCTCCCGACGACCAGGGGGTCACTCCAGAGCGTCGTCTATGGCTGAGGCTCTGGGACCATAATGGACATAAATGCTGCCGGGGCAGCTCCAGCTGTAAATCCTTCTCTTGGTGATTAAGGGCCACTTTCCCCCTTTGAGGCATAATCCTTCTTAATTACACATAAGCACTTTGTTAGAGAGAAGCCATGTTGGTCCTTTTGTTAAGAGAAGAAAGAGAAACCTGGAAACCAGGGGCCTGCACTGAAAGGGAATTGAGTTGGGGGATTTAACGCGAAGCCAGGCCCTTTAGGCTCCTCCTCTATTAAAGAAACTCCTCAAGTAGGTGGTTTTAGGAATCTGACCTTCACGATCAGAACAAAATCTTTTTACAGAACCCTGGTGTAGACGTTTGTCCTCAGTAGTGGTTTGTAATGAGCCAGCAGCCAGGGTTGACCGCTCCTCTAAATCTAATTAGCCACTGGCCACACTGAATGAGACCTAAATTGCATGGTTTACCGCACCATTCATGACTTCAGCCCGCACTTTGGGTAAATGACTTTTATTCTGTGTGCTAAAATGGATCGACTAGTAGTGCTTGCCTGAAGCTGTGAAGAAAAAGACCCGGATGACATGCAGGCTTGGCAAGGCATTCTGTGATCGATTAGCAATGCCTGACACGGGCAGGGGAGGGGCCGCAGCGCGCAAACCTGGTCCTTCCACCCAGCAGCGAGTCATCTGGACAATCCCAAATCAAGTTTAGGAGATGTGGGATCTCCCAAACCAAACTCGGTGCTGTTCATTTGGCCTCAGCGGCCTTCCATCGGCTTTCCAAAGCTGACATCTTAACGGGAAGAGACTGCCCATCTTTCTCACTCTGAAGGCCCTTTTGGTTTAGCACGTACCTGCACCTCCATCTGGGGTCCAGCTCAGAATGATCCGAAAAAAGTAAAATTGCCCAATGGGTTTCCAAGGCTGTAAATCTGTACAGAAGCGAACAGTCTCATCCTTCTCCAGTGAAGTTGGTGGATTCAAACCGTCAACCTTGTGGTAAGCAGTCAAATGCTTTTAACCCTGCACCACCAGGGCTCCCATGATCCTGAAAGGTGCCCTCAAACGGAAGCCATTTTGGGAAGTTTTTGTCTCTTTTGGGAAACTTTTTCATCACCTTTAATCTGCTTCACCACATCTCAGAAGTTGAGATTTTAAACCCCTGTGACTTGGGGATGGGGGTGGAGAGAGTGAGAGCCATGAAGCAGGAAGGATGATGATTACACAGGAATCTTTGTAGTTTGCACAGAAACTGAGGTAACTTACAGAAGGCATGCACTGTGTAATGGGGCCTAAGAAGAGAGGGTTTCTACTTAGAGAATCAGAAAGGAAAAGCTGTTTGGAGGTAGTAACATTCAGGATAGGCTATGATGTATCACAAAAACTGTATGGTACTATATTTTTACAAGTTAGCTCTGGTGGACTAGTGGTAAGGAATTGTGTTGCCAACCCAAGGGCAAGTGGTTTGAGTTTGCCATATTTTCTGAGAAGAGAGAGAGTCTCCTATGCAATTCAGAGTTTCTGAAAACCTGCTCAGCCATGATGTCATGGCACAAAACAAAACCACATACTTTTATTGTGTACAAACGTTTTTTCTTTAATGTATTGCATTCTTACTGCAGTCTTTAAGTGTTTATCAATGAGGAAACTGAGGGGTTAAATGCTAATCAAAAGTTAGGTTAGTCAAACATTATCAGCCACTCTGAAGGAGAAAAATGAGGTATTGCTCTCATAAAAATTACTGTCTTAGAAGCCCTGAGGTTATGTTCTGCCCTGTAGGACAGCTCTGCGTTGGAATTGCCGGTTATTGTTGGTTTTTTATTTTATTTTTCATAAAGACATCTGAGTGAGAGATTCCTCAGGCTACATGAGTCTGGAGTTAAGAATAAGGTTCTGGTATGGAAACATGTATTTGGGAATTGTCATCACATAGATGAAGGATTAAACCCTGGAAGATTAAGTAGATTACACAGGAGGATAAATTTAGTGTGTAGAGTGGCAGCTGCAATGGTGAAAGAACACTGCCTTTCAAATTCTGGAGATAAAAAAAAAAAAATAACCCACCATTGTAATAATCAGATACCAGCTAAGTAAATTGTGTTGTCATTGTTTTAGAATGATATATCAAGGAGTTAAAAACAGGAAAATCTCCAGTATGAGGGCTTTGTTAAAATTCAGTTGATGTCACTGTAGTAGCAGTTACTACTCTGTTACTAGTGCCCTTCTTGTCTGAACAAATCTATTTGTTGGTGAAGACATTTATTCTTTTTTTTTATCACCCCTTTTTTAAAAAAAAATTCTTTCAATTGGTTTGTATACAAAATTCTTATACATTGTGTTGTTGGGTTTTTGTTTTTTAAAATAAGTATATAAAGAACAATTTTAATAATATGTCAAATTTGTAGAATCCCATCATATTGGACCTTTCGAAAATACATAGGGTACGGGGAGAAAAGTGCAACAATGAATGACTGGAAATCCAAAATCTCTGTAAATGTTCATTGACATTAATAAAAAAAAATACAGTAAGGTAATGAAACACAGGCTTGAATTGGTTTCATTTCTTTTAAATGTAATACTAGTAACAATATTAGTAGGACTGTGAGTAATTTCCAATCCAAATAGTTATGTGTTTCAATGCAGTTCCTATTTTCCATAAATGTTTTTGCTAAGACAAATGCTATAAATGTAGATACAGTTCCACCATTCCTCCTCCATGCCACAATATACTGTTATTAGCATTAGTGGCTATAATAGACCTGTTACCTTCTTTATAGCATTTTAGATTTTTAGTTGTTACATGCTGATAAGTGTAACCAACAGGGCTCCAATCAATGATGCTTCCGTAGGACATATTAATTAAAACTTGTCCTTTCTCTCCTTAACATTGTTTCCAATATATCCATTCTCCAATGAAAGATAAAGAAAGCAAATGACATGGTGGAACCTGAAGTTATGTTACTGGTGTTTTCATGAAAGCCATACCCTTGGAAAATGTAATAGTGTGAGGAATAATTACCCAAAATTTTATACATCCATCCCTGAGCTTCTATTTTTAAATAATAATATTCATGTCCAATGCATATGGGAAAAATATCAGTGCCTACACTATACTTTAATTGTGCTAATGCGAAACCTGTACTTGGATCAAGAGGCAGTAGTCAGAACAGAGCAGGGCAACACTGCATGGTTCAAAATTGGGAAGGGTGTACGCCAGGGATGCATCCTGTCTTCATACCTTTCAACCTATATGCAGAGCAGATTATCTGAGAAGCTGGGCTCTATGAGGAGAATTGTGGTATCAGGATTGGTGGAAGATCTATTAACAATCTGCGTTATGCAGATGACACAACCCTGCTTGCTGAAACTGAGGAGGACCTCATGCACTTGCTGCGAAGGGTCAAGGACTGCAGCCTTCAGTATGGATTAAGGCTCAATGTCAAGAAGACAAAGAGTCTCGCCACTGGACCAATTGGCAGCATCAGGATGGATGACGAAGAGATTGAGAGTGTTCACAGCTTCAGTTTGCTCGGCTCCACAGTCAACACTCTTGGTACCAGCAGTCAGGAAATCAAAAAGCGTATCGCGATGGGAAAGTCTGCTGTTAGGGACCTCTCAAAGGTACTCAGGAGCAACAGTGTCTCTATAGAGACTAAGGTGCACCTGATACAGGCCATGGTCTTTGCAATCGCTTGTTATGCATCAGAGAGTTGGACAATGACTAGGGAGGACAGAAGGAGAGTGGATGCTTTTGAGCTGTGCTGGAGAAGGGTACTGAATGTACCCTGGACTGCCAGGAAAACAAACAGATTCATCTTGGAGAGGATTAAACCAGGCTGCTCCTTGGAGGCAAGGATTCTGGGGCTTCGTCTGACATACTTTGGACATGTTGCCAGGAGGGACGGGTCCTTGGAGAGGGACATCATGCTTGGGAGGGTGGAGGGACAGCGCAGGAGGGGAAGACCCTCTATGAGATGGATTGATTGAATGACTGGGGTAATCGGGATGGGTGTGTCAGAGGCGGTGTGGTTGGCGCAGGATAGAGCAGGGTTTAGGGCTGTTGTGCATAGGGTCGCTATGAGTCAGAAACGACTCGACGGCACATAACAACAACAACACTATACTTAGAAATAGTCATTCCTTCTTCATTAGTTTTAAGGGGTCCCCAGTTATCATGGGGACCTGGAACTCACTGACTGTCATTATTATAAATAGGTAAAAGATTGTCAAACCAATGAATTACTTTTAATAAGGGAAGTTAAGGAATTTATGTCCAATAGCTGGTATTATATGCCATTCCTACCTGACTCAACACAGCAAGCATAACCAAAACCAAATGTTCAGAAGATAATGGTTTCCCTGTTGTTTTTTTTCTTTTCATTTTTGTTAGTAAACATTTACAGAGATTTTGGATTTCCATTCATTCATTGTTGCACTTTTCTCCCTGCCTACCCCTCCCCACCAGTTCGCTCCTCTCTTTGAAAGGAAAAATAAAAAAAATAAAAAATTCCTTCATTGGTATACAATTCCCCAGACATTTATTCTTTTTATCTTCATTCACTGTGATAGCTGTGGGTTTCAGCTCTGCTTCACTGAGTGGATTAGTATTGTTGTTTTTCTTTTGTATATGAGTCGCACTTAACAAAAATAACATCAACATAAAGAGAAATCAGTTGGCCTAGTGGAGAAAAAGTGATGCTACCAAGCCAAAGGTGGGTAACTTTTAATCCCTCAGGCTTGTTTTTCATTGTTTTTGTTCAAACATTCTTCATGGTCCTATAGCCCTGGTGTGTCCACTTGCCAAACAGAAGTAACTTGTGGTTGCTGTGAAGCTGAATACTGACACTGACTTAGTTTAAACAAGCTTGGAAGCAGGAGTGTCATCCACTTCTGTAATAGCTTGCCTCCTGAAAACCTATGAACCTGGAGAAAAGATGAAAGTCACAAAAATATTGAGGGCTTTT